ATCCCCTGGTCACGTACTTCTCTAACACTCTCTCTTCAGCTCCTTCCTCCTTTTGAGGGTGAGCTGTGCACATGGAAGGTAGGATGGGCAAGGCTACCGGCTTTGCTGTGGCCTCGGTAGCTGGTAAAGAAATGAACTAAAATCAAAATTCAATAAGCTAAAAATGTAATTCAGGAGAAGAAGGTGCTTTTGCAAGGCCCATCCATGCTTTTAAGTCACACTCAGAAGCGTTTTCAGAGCTGAGGAAAAAGGAACAACACTGAAAAGTATCAGTGACAACCATAGAGGATCAAGCAAGCCATCATAAAGCAAGCCCTGACCTTTTGCAGCTCCCCCACCATCTAGGCAGTTTGCAGCTTAACCCCTGAATCCTTGCTGTTTTATGTTAGGAGTTTGCTGGAAACTCTTTGAAAGAAGCGCGGTAGATTTACTGTCGCTCCTTGGCTTCCCAAATCTAGCCCATAGTGGAGCGCAGAGCCAAGATTCTTCCAAATACAAGCTACCAGAGGGCATGTGTGATTCAGTCTGCTCATCTCCATACTGAGTTGTGAGACTATTGCCACTGTTAGAGGATGTAGTTATAAATGAGAACCCCATATGCGAGTGAAACAACCGTGCTAAAGTAAACAGTGAAACTCTTGTGACAGCCGGATCCAATCCTTTGATTTCCAGGGCCAGTTTGTAGCTTACTGCATAATTTCTGGCCTCACATGACAAATTTGCTGAATGAATTTAAAGTCTCATCCTCATCCCAAAACACCTATTTGCTAGTTGGATTTTTAATTTGTATTCCATGATCCTAATTAGTCATGGGGTTTCTTTGTGAGGTGCTCTCTGAGCCTGCAAAGCCAAAAAAAAAAAAAAAAGAAACCTCCCTGGGCAGCAGATTCTTTTTAAACACTTTCCAAAGCCCCACGCTAGAAATTCCAGAAGAGTCTCATGGATGTCATAGAGTAAGATAATGCACATAAGGTGAGGCAGGTATTTCTGTCTGACCAATGTTTGTCTCAATCCCCTGTCTCCATTGCCTCCCAGTGCCTGAATATGAAAAATCAATGATCCACTTGTTTTAAGGATTGGTCTGATTCAAATCAGACTCCTGTGTCTCCAGAGTTACTTTCATGTCCCGAAAGGTTCATCCCTCCTGGAAATGTAGATTGTATTTGGCTACAATGCTGAAGAATCCCAACTATAAAAATTATTAAAAAGACAATTTGCTTAACATTAAGTCCCTAACTATGGTGATGTTATTAATCATGATATTTTGGCACAGTTTACTGGTGACAGAAAAGTGGTATTTTAATATTTTGTGAGATAGCAGGACATCTGGGCGTTGTGCGGTAATATGACCTGTAACATTACATGGCTAATTATGCTCCCTTTTTAAGCTAATTATACGTGCTTATGGTGTAGAAACACAGTAATAAATGCATGTAGTTCAGCTTTAATATGTTTTTTATACTACAGAAGGTTAGACTAGGCTATTGCAGAGTAAGTTTGGAGATGACAGGCCCATATGCTGCTGCTTCTGGGTTGTTTTAGTCCAGATCCTTCTCCTGTCTCTCACCACATCACAGGAGTCTCTGCAAACGTGGAACATGCTCTTCTTGGACTCAGAAGCATGCGGGCCTCAGAACTGGCAGGAGGATGGTGTGCGGCACGTCCGTCAATGCACAGCTTGTCGGAGAAGTGCGTGCGATAGTTAGCAGTGGCTCTGGCTAGAAAGGAGTGCCTCGTAGCACAGGGCTGTCACAAGTATGTTGCAGTATGATGCGTAGGAATGGCAGCAAGCAGCAGTACTTAACGTGTGCTTTAAAGCCCAGTCTTTTAAAGACAGCGTTGGTACTGAGCAAATGAATCTGTTGCAGCGTTACGATTGCCTGGCGTGCAAGACCTGTGCAGTGTTTGTGGTGGGTGGACCATGCTGAATGTCAGCCTGACTTTTGCATTGCAGATGCCGTGTATTGTAGGGTGCTGTGGGTCTTAGTCTTCTTTGCTGGGTACACTTGAATTCTGGAGCTCAGGTGTGATGTTAGGAGGTACATGGATCACGAACATGGTCTGTCAGTTTATGTAGAAATTGAAAATACTTCTTTTTCACTGCAGGAATACAATTTATAGTTAAGAGTATACATTAGGGAGTAGTAGCAGTTTGTTTTCCTTCTGATCTTGTCATTCTTCAGATTTCTGTAATTATTCTGATAACCTTTAGGCAAGACATCCTCTTACCTGTCTGCACTGACACAGCTGCTTGTATTTGCACTGCGTTGGCACTGTGCTTCTCAATAGTACACTGAAAGAGAGACTTAGCCCGAGGTATTTGTGGTCCTGAATTCCCTGCTATGCTACTGCCGCAGGTTGTACTCTGAACTTGTTCCTGTGAGGTACTGAGCTTTCTGGCCCTAACCCAGTAAAGCACTTAAGGGCATATTTAACATTAGGAGTATAAGTAGTTCCATCATCTGCAGGGGAACTGCCTATGTGTTTAAAGTTAAGCATGAACTTGAGTACTTTACTGGACTGGAACCAAATTGCTCCACATCCTGTAGGAACTCATTGTAGGTGTGTAATCTCTTCAGCCTCGCGTTTTGCCGCTTAGGCCTAAGCTGACATTTGCATATAATTTTTAATGCTGGATTTGAGTCTGTTATTGAAAATTAGTAATTTTTAAGATCCTTGCTTACCAACCTTATCACAAAGTATGTGACTGCTACAAATTCTATGGAATTGCTGGTTATGAGAACTAGCTAATTCTGTTTTTGTTTTGTGCAGTAGTGTGCACAAAGCATTTTGTCCTGGTTGGATGTGTTTATTCTGTACACATATAATACTGGATTCCCAGAGACATGATCCCAAACTAGCAAGAGGCAAGTGGTGTCTTAGGTGAGACTACTCTGAAAATGTTTTGCAGTTTTATATTCAGCTTGTTTTCCTCTGATCCACCTGTCTCTTGGTTTTGATTATATCTACCTATACGCACTGTCGAGGTGTGTGCGTTAATGGACTGTCTAGCATATCCTGCATGTACATAAGTGTACCTTCTTCCTTAGTTAATAACTATGAAATTGCCAAATCTCATTCTCCTTTTTTTTTCAGAAACTGACGTAGCAGTAACAAACATTTTTGGTGGATCACAGTTATGAAATCAAAGCTCCTTAGTCAATACATAGGAGGAATGCTGAAATTCCTCCAGTAGCTAGTGAGCTTTAAGAAGGCCTTTCCTTCTTTCATTGTGTGGCTGAATGGGAGCTGCTGGTCTCTCAGATCTCTCTCAGAGATCCAAGGATTTTATGGATCACAGCCAAGCAGATGAGTTGGAGAAGTGCTCAAACTAGAGAATATCAACAGGAGAAATATGTAGGATGTTACCTAACCACAATGATGAATTTGGAAATTAGGTTTGCCATTAAAAAAAGTTGCGTGAGAAGAGAAAGATTCTACAATTTTTCAGGGAGAAAATAGAAAAAAGTGTTAGGTATATACCTGTAAGACAGAGAGAAGTTGCTGTAGTTTATATTAAGGTGTTTATGATGTGCAAAGGCTAAGTAGCTGTGGTAGCTACTGAATGCTGAGCTATCTTGGTTGGATTTTCATCTGCTATTTGATGCAAGTAAAGATATATAACAGTCTGTTCTTTGAATTTTTGCATTTTTCAGTGGGTGATAAATACGTGGGTTGGTATGTGCCCCTTAATTTATCGAGCATAATTTGGAATCCTAGAACAAATCTTAGCTGGTACAAGCTCTACTGAAATGAGATTTTGAAGTCAATAGATTCACATCAGTTTAATCACGGCCATTAATTTGCAGGAATGACATTTGAATTTGTGTGGTAACTAATTCCAAAATGATTCATGGTCTTTTATTTAAGGAAAGAATTACAGACTTCTAAATATCATCTGGTATCAAAATTGATCCTATAATTAATTTTCTAGTAGTAAAGTCATCTCCTGTGTATTACCAAACTGCTAGTGTTTCATCTGATGTTTGACAGATTTCTGTAGTTAACATTTCTAGAGTGAATATTTCTGTCTGGTTACAATGAATTTTCAGTTCATCCCTGTTTGTTGTGGGAAGTAAGCCGTAGGAGACTTGTAAACTCTCACATTGTCAGTAAGAAGAAGAGTTGCTTTTAGTCATGTGGCTTCACCAGGTGTTAGCAGAAACTTTTGAGAGCCTGAGGGCTCTTGAGCAGAGGATTCACTTCCCTGAGATCACTGAGTTGTTCAGATTGGAAGGAACCTCAGCGGAGGTCTCCAGTCCCGCCTCCTGCTCATGGCAGGGTCAGCTCTGAGATCAAACAAGGTTGGTCTGGGCTTTGTCCTGTCAGATCTTGAAACCTCCAGGGCTGGAGACTGCACAACTTCTCTAGACAACATGTTCTGCTTAATTGTCCTCATAGCGATGTTTTTTGATCTCCTGTCCACTAGAAACCTACCCTGTTTCAGTTTGTGTCATTATCTCTTGTTGTCTTGCAAACACCTCAGTCAAGAGCCTCGCTCTGTTTCTCTGGTCCTTCTGAAATTGTCTCTTCTGTAGGCTGAAGCAGCCCGGTTCCCTCAGCCTTTCCTCATAGGGCAGTTGCTCCAGGCTCTGACTGTCACAGTGACCCACTGCTGAACTCACTCTGATTTATCAACATCAGTGCTGTACTGAAGGTCCCAGAACTGAGCGCATTGTCCTAGACACAGTTGAACATGTGCCAGGTAAAGGAGAATAATCACTTTCCTTGCTTGATCTGGCTATTCTTCTGTCGATGCAGCCCAGGATGCTGTTAACCTTCACTGCTGCCTGGATACACCTACCTAGTTCAGCCTGCTGTCGTCCGGAACCCTTGTGTCCTTCTCAGCAGAGCTGCTTCCCAGCCTGTACCATCACAGGAAGCTAGTCCATCCCAGGTGCAGGACTTTGCATTTGTCATTGCTGAATTTCTTGAGGTTCCTGTAGGCCCATTCCTACAGCCTATCTAGGTCTCTCTGAATGGTAGCCCTGCATTCAAGCATGACAACTCATTTTGTTGTCATCCGCAAGCTTAACCCAAAAGCTTTCAGTGTCTTCCTCCAGGTCATTGATAAAGATATTGAGCAGGACATGTCCCAGGATAGGTTCCCTGAGGAACTCCACCTATAACCAGCGTCTAGGTAGAGTAAAAACCATTAAACAATATACCTCGAGCCTCGTGATCCATCCATTTTTTCTACCTATCCAGTAGTCCCCCTATCTAAATTGTAACATCTCAACTTGGATACAAGGATGCTGTAGGAAATGTTGTCAAGAGCCTTGTTAACGTCAAAGTAAATTACATCCGTTGTTCTTCCCTCCTCCATGAATGGAATCATTTCATCACAGAAGGCAATCAGGTTGGTCACGCATGGTTTATCGTTAGTAAATCCATACTGGCTTTTCCCAGTCACTTTTTTTTTTCTTTTCTTGTACCTAGAAATTACTTCGAAGAGGACTTGCTCCATGATTTTCCCAGGGAAAAAGTGAGATTGACCAATGTGTAGTTCCCCAGGTCATCCTTCTTGTCTTTTTGTGAAGATGAATACAGTATTTATCATAGAATGGTTTGGGTTGGAAGGCACCTTAAAGATCATCTAGTTCCAATCTTCCTGCCATGGGCAGGGACACCTTCCAATACATCAGGTTGCTCAAAGCCTCATCCAACCTGGCCTTGAATGCTTCCAGGGATGGGGCATCCGCAACTTCTCTGGGCAACCTGGTCCAGTGCCTCACCACCCTCATAGTGAAAAATTTCTTCCTTATATGTAATCTAAATCTGCCCTCTTTCAGTTTAAAGCCATTGCCCCTTATCTTATCACTACATGCCCTTGTCAAAATCCCCTCTCCAGCTTTCTTGTAGACCCACTTTCAGTACTCGAAAGCTGCTAGAAGGTCTCCCTGGAGCCTTCTGATCTCCAGGCTGAACAACCCCAACTCTCTCAGCCTGTCTTCGTAGGAGAGGTGCTCTAGCCCTTGGATTGTCTTTGTGGCCCTCCTCTGGACCTGCTCCAACAGTTCCGTGTCAATTTGCCTTTATTCAGTTGTTGGAGGCTTCCCCCAATCTCCACAACTTTTGAAATATGAAAGAATGGCCTCGCAGTGTCATCAGACAGTCTATCAGCATCTTCCTACGAATCCCATCTGGTTCCCCTGGGAATTTTATAAGCTGAGATTTCTTAAGAGATCCCTGGCTTAATCCTCTTTCAGTACTGCTAGTTTCTCTACTCCTTGAACTCTGTAGGTACAAAGGACCACAAGACCCTGCCGGTAAAGTCAGAGCCTTATCTGCATCCACTGTCAGTAAATCACCTGACCTATTCAGCAGCTGGCGCACAGTTTCATTGTTTATTCTTTTATTGCTAATGTGGTTGTTGAAGCTCTTCTTGTTGCCCATAACATCCCTTGCCAGTTTCAACACCAGGTGAGCTTGAGCTTTCCTGACACCATCCCTACACATGTCCAGGCAGTTCCCCCTTAGTTGCTTGCTTCTGCTTCCACCTCCTTCATACTGTTTTTCTGCGTTGTCGTTCAATCATGACTTCCCTGGTTAGCTAGGGACCATCTCCTGATATGCCTGCCTGTTTTCATGAGTTTTGTGCTTGGAGGAGGTTGTCCTGAAAGATGTACCAGCTTTCCTGAGTTCCATTTTCCTTCAAAGCTGCCTCTCAGGGGAATCCACTAACCAGTTCCCTGAACAAGCTGAAGCCTGGTCTCCGGCTCTACTCTGCTCTTTCCTCACTGCCCTCAGGATCCTGGACTTGGTTATTTCATAGTTACTACAGTGAAGGCTGCCATTGATAATCACATCTTCAGTCAGTTCATCCTCATTTGTGAGTAGC